ACGGTTGCGGACGGTTGCGGACGGTTGCGGACGGTTGCGGACGGTTGCGGACGGTTGCGAACATAGAAGCAACGGATCGCGAACAAGACTCTACCCCCAGACCCCCAAGAGTTAAACGAGAACCCTTCGCTACGCATTCGGGAAAAAACAAGCATGGGCAGGACATATGCTAGCTGACAGCACCTTTGCTGCAGTGACGCGATCACAAGCATGACGCTCACAAGCCGCATGGCGTTTGGAACCAGCTGCAGGCGTTTGGCTTTGCAAAAGTGCCATCAACCACGTGTGAAGCTGCAAATAAGGAAAAGTGAATCGGACACCTCTATATTCGTCTTCATGTTCCCAGGATCCTCGAGGAGACCATTGATGACTGCCACTTGGCTTTTTGTGAGCTGCTGCCGTGCAATCTCTGCCTGGTCCGACGAAAACTCCGCGCCTTCGTTCCAAAGGCTTCAACAGCTTGAAATCTTGCTCCTCCTAGTTCTGTCACATGGCCCCAACATTTGCAAGTCACATCAAAGGACCAACAACTGGATGATAATTGATGCCCAGAAAAAGGAAAACTCCCTCGCAATTAGGGTTGCGGCAACAGTATCTCAAACACCACTGTCAACGGTAGTTATAATAGTTATATATGTAGTGTGGTGGCACTTACAGTTCTCAAACCCTTGAGGTACCAACACCTGGGACGGGAAACAACGCAGGGGTGGGATGGCGTGAGACAAAGTAAGTGGGCCCACTAGCGCAAAGGGCCTTTGGGTCTGTGTACATCTCCATCTGACAAATCACCTCCAACCTACTTGCGACGGCCTCCAACCTAATAGCAAAAGGAATCTAATAGCGATGGCCTCCCCCAAAAAGCGATGGCCTCCAACCTGATTTATGCCGGGATGCCGTGAGCATGTGGCCGTTGTCCCACCACGCCCATGCCACCGGTGGAATCGTGAAGAGCAACAGCGTAGCGCCATGCAGCCAGTGGCGTGTCATGACTAAGCGTTCTTGTCTCAAAAGGGGAAGAAGGCTTTTTCATGATAATCTTTTGTGAAGCGCATCAGGAACCCGTTCATGCTTGTGTCTTCTTGCTAGATTTCAAGTCTAAAGTGGCTTGGAGCAACTCTCGTGTGAAATGACTATCATACATCATACACTTCAAAAGCTCAAAACAGTATCAGGCGAATTCGGGCATCAGCAAATCACACATTGAAACATAGTGTCCTGTGAGAAGCTCATTGAGGTCTCCTTGGATTGAACAAAATCGAAACATCTCGCGACTGATTTGTTTTCCTAAAAATATAGGAACCACATGAATAGCGTTAGCTATCCTGTGTCCAGTAGTTAGTAGCAGCAGCCAGTAGTCCTTACTTAACTCAGTAGGTGCCTACAGTACTTAATCCAGTAAGGAGGCAGGGCCACGGGCTAAAAAAGAGATACAGCGCCAAAGTCTTTTTGGTCAAAATGGTCGGGTCTCAGCTGCAAGCTAAATGCCTGACAGCCACACCTGTCAATATCCAACTGTTGCAGTATCCTTGAACATGGTAGTGGACCCTTTCTTTGGTCTCTTTGCAACATACCAATGGTGCGGAGCTCTCAATACTCTGCACAAAGATCACAAAGTAGAGTGGAGCAAGAAGAAAGGTTCAGAGGCCAAGCGGAACTTTGCAGAAACGCGTTGATTCTATGATCCTCGTAGAGGGCTTCCTCTATGACTCTACGACCAGTCTTTATTTCTTAAGGAGGCAAAAAGCGCAAAAACACATATCACTTGGAGATATGTCCGACCCATGCAAACACTACTTGTTCCTTCCTGTACAGTAATTGTTCTTTGTGAAAATGGATGTTGAGGTGCTTCTGTCATGGCTTTGGCAGCGCTAAAACAAAGTCTGATGAAACGTGACGAGTTTGCCAACGGTTTGTCAATGCAACTTGCCTACCAATCACAAACTAACTGCTCGTATCCAAAGCAATGGCCTCCAACCTAATAGCAATGGCCTCCAAAGCAAGTCATTGTTATCCAAATGTTTGCCAAACTCGTGAAGCCTCTGCGCCGAGAGCTTCAGCTGAACTCCCACAACACCACAGCCCCGTCATCACCACCCTTGGCGTTGCTGGACGCTCAAGAATCCCTGGCTTCTAATAGCTTCTTGTTCCTAGTAGCGATGCCGCGATGCCCTTTGCTCCTAGTAGCGTCCTTGCTCCTCGTAAGAAGGCCAGGAGCCCCTAGTAGCTTCTTTGCTCCTACGCCTCCCCTTTAGTTGCAAAGCTCGCGTTTGGCTCCAAAACGCAGCAAAACTCATGTTTGTAGGTTGCATAGTTCTGTGGAACACGTGCTAAGGTGGATTTGCTGGTTTGCTCTTCCATTGGCGCAATCCTGGCAAAGCAGCTTGACTTGTCTCTGTTCATGTATGTATGCTTGACGCATACCGTATGACACATACATCATGCATCAAACCGATTCTAGCCTTTCAATTCCACATTAAAACGCAAAAGAAAGGAGGTTGGTTGTTCCACCAAACAATTGTGCCCATGGGGCACTTGGACATGGTTCGTGCGCGGTTTGAAACACTCACAAAATAGAACCACCGTTGAGGATGCCAACAATTGACACGTGATATAAATAAGTAGAACAGTTGGTAACGATGACGGTGCCCTTGATCCGCAGCCGTCACCGGTGATATAAATAAACATAACGGGCACTCCTGGCAGTGCAGTTTTCTCGCAAATTTGTGTTCTTTTGAGTCAACATTTGTCAAGAAAACTGCACTGCCAAAAATGGCTGTACAACAATTGCATCCAGCAGGAAAGCCTGACCAATTGACAAATATGTTCAAAAAAACAAACAACTAAATGTATAACCATAACAAAAAAATAAACATATTTCAGAGGGTCCAAAATTTTCCCCAGAGTGCTCTCCTGGTAGTGCAGCTTTCTTGACAACTGTTACGTTTTTGATACAGGTTCATAGACTAGGTTGGCTAGCTGGGTCCTTCCATGGTTGAGGGGACATACCTCATGCTCTGCTATTCTGTGATCAATTACGTTGCATCTCTTGCACTTCTCTAAACACCTGTCCAATGTCATACCTACACTGGGTGTCCAACGCTTGCCAGGAGAGTGCGATTGCCCCTCGGCAACTTCCAGTGCACTTTCTTCATCATGATACGTGATGCTCAGAACTTGCAAAGACCATGCAAATATGCGATTTGAACTGCTAAGTTTGGCATGTTCAGCAAACGTCAATCAATTGTTCGAGATCTAATGCCCCAAGATCAGTTCCTGCAAAAACCTTTTGCAAGCTTGCCCAGGAAAACGTCCTTAAATAGGAGTGGCTCCACTATGAATTGTAAAAACACTCAATTGTTCAGGAAGAAAAACATGCAGCTGCATTAGTATCAATGCTGTGCTGATGAGCGAGCATGCAAACACGCTCAACAGCACATTGCTGTTCTTCAGTCTAAACATCTCCCCTTCCAGGACAGGCTCGAAGAGAAGTGGGACAACAGCCTATTGAGTCTATTGCAGGATTTCTTCATTTGCTATACGGTATTTATGATATGTTTGCTCTTTAAACTTTAGACATGTCATTTTAGTATTTCTTCTGAAGCCGTTTGAGGGAGCCGCTCCACGCCCTCTGAGCCCCGGGCTGGGAAGGCCCCCAGGCAACACAGTTCACATCTCCATTGTGGGCTAGCTCCTGAAAGAGAATATCCCCAAAGGCACCAAGGAACCAATAGAGACGAAGCAAACATCTCAAAGGGTCTTGCATGAGACAACCTTGCCATGTGATCACACCTCTGCTCAGCAACGAACAGCATTTTGCTCCCCCTTAAGACCGTTCCTTCTGTCCAAGACCTCTCTAATTAGTTACTACTAGTAAGGCACGTGTTACTAGTAGCGATGCACTTGTTACTGAATGCTAAGAACAAGCTCTTCAAATTTATGAAAGATCAACTAGAATTGCTTTAGCGAATGCTGTGGCAAACCAAAACCCAAGCTTCAGGCATCGGCGACACATTCCCAGTGAAGCAAGGATTCATCCTGGTGCCCAAAAGAGTTGATACACTTCTTGTTGCATGAGTCTCAGCAACCTTTGGCAAGGTTTTTGGGTTTTCCCTTTCTGCATACTTTGACATCTTTGAGGATGACCTTTGGTCTTGGATAGATGCAGAAATGTAGTGACCTCATGGCCGTATTGCTCGTGTTGCTTTAGACTTTCCAAGTCTACTTTCCAGTGATTCCCATTTCTCGTGCAGTTCTATTTTCAATCTTGAGGAGTCAGTGAAGTTGCAGTGGCACCACATCAAGGTGACTCACCATTCTAAGACAAGTCAGTCAACCTACTGACTCACTTCTGATAGTCATAGATCGGCAAAGCAACCAACAGAGTGTGAAGATCCACACATCATTGAATCTTCTGGCTACCTTTCTATTGGAGTTGTGCTTTCTACATGTACAGTATTCTGTGGCTGTGCGTTGAGCAATCTTGCACTTGGGTACCGCGTTGATGCGCAAAGGTAGTGAGAAGTGCCAGCATCTTACCTGAACCATGTCTGCTCTGGACCACTGCTCACTCACACCCTCCTCTGCTCTGAAGATGCGGATCCGATCATCTCCGCAGGCAGAGGCCAAGAAGTCTTGTTGCGACCAGTCTGTGCTGTACACCTGCAAACCCAAAGAACTGTTGATGATATCTACAATGTTGATGAATCTTGTCTGAGCTCGCTACGGGGCGTGGATGGTAGTCTCTGATGATGCTGACCTCAGAGTTGAACAGTTCTGGTAACACTTGTTCAAACAATATGTTTCCTTGACCACATGTCAAAGAATCTTGAGGAAGCTCACAGAACCACCCGCGGCGACACCTATATAATTAAATGAGCAAAATACTATTAAACAAACATCAAACCACGGCATGAGAAAACAATGAGTGCTATTGACCAACAACGACAGCAGCAGCATCCAAATCTGAATCCATTCAGCGCTGATTAAAACACCAGGAGCAGCAGCGGTCGCATGGACAAAGAACAAACGACATCAAGCCCTGACTCACGATGTGCGGGATGCCTTCTGAACTTGTGGACTGACTGACTGAATGATTCTGTATTATGTCAAAATAGTTATCGTGATTCAGCTGCATGTCAAACTTCGAGTGTTCTCCAGGCAGGTGGCGATTTGAACGAATTTAGAGCTATATCTAGTTACACATCTGCACATTGAACTGAATCCAGGAACCTGTGCAAAGGTCTTCAAAAGCTATGCAGGGGAGCAAACATGGCATGCTGGGTGACTGACTGTTTGCAACCAAGGCACACTGAACATTTGTTGTTCTGCTTTAGGGGTCAAGCTGGCACCATTGTGGGTGAGCAGGATTTAGGGACCTCCCAGTTCTAAGTCCAATTCATGAACTCTACAGTAACAAAAAGGACCCTTTCACTGCCATGCCAAGTTCGGAGGATCTGTGATATCTGTCTGTGGATCTTGCTTCAGAAGAGTTAGGAACCCAGATCGGTTTGGAAACACTCCTGGGCCTGTCCAACACCAGCTTCGCAGTGATTGTCGCGGAAACAGCACTCGTCGTACCGGAGCGCAATTTGAGATGGGTCTAGCATAGCTAGCCCCTGGTCTGGAGATAAATCAAACAAGTGAAAACAACATGTCTCTCAAGTACTGTAGTTCTTCGTAAATTCATTTTGTGAATACAAACGAAGGGAGTAGCTAACCTCCAGCTCTCTGGCTACTTGTTATTGCTTGAGTCCGCAGGATCTCATGTATGAAATCCTACACACTTCAGTGGTTGGACTTTTTGGGGGCGTTTTTTGTTCCTTTTGATCTTGTGTTCAAGATCAGCACGATGACGATAACTTATTGCAAATTCCGCTTTCACAAGTGTATATACTTCTTGTCTGTCGTTCTCGCACAGCATCTGGGGCTCCTGCACATGACCAGCTGCAACAGGCGTCCTTTGGCGCGGACCTTGGCATTTTAGAGACAGTGAGACAGCCACAAAGCGTTTCA